GAGCGGTGCCGCGGGGGCAGCGGGGACCGCGGTAGGGAACGGGGAGGCAGCGCGGGGTGTGCGAGCGCTGCAAGGCGCGTCCGGAAGAGCCAGCGACTAAGGGCTTTTACCCGGTTCTTGTTCCGTCTTCGCCGTTACGGCTCAGTAGTGAATAAGCATGTTTGGACCGTGCGCAAAGATCGCGTGGTCGCTTCGAGCGGGTGGTGTTTTCCCCCTTTCCGTAGCGCGATGGTCGTACCTTGTGGCCGCTGTCGTGATCGGTCCGGCGACGCTGCTCCGGCGTGGCCAGCTGCCGCGTTTGTTGGGGACGGCACCCGGGTTTGAAAGCGCAAGCCGCTTAGTTGAAATCCGAAATGAGTTATGAGCGCGCTATGTCCTGCCAAGATCTCCCAGTTGGTTAAGGACGGAAAGAACTGTGTAAGCGTTTGCCGTTTTGTTGGGGTGTTACCGGTTGAGACAGGTTTCGTGGGTTGGTTCACTCCCTTTTCGTCTCCTGATCTCTTCTTTAGATATGCAGCTGCATGCTTGTGTAGGTGCCCTGTTGGGTTACTGAAATGCAGCGTACGGTTTTTTCCTGTTGACGAGAAGGAAATACGTGCCCTGGGCTCGGAAGCTGCTCGGCCGCAGCTGGAGATGGTCTGCTTCGCCCTGTGTAGGCATGCACTGCAAGGAGGGCGCGACCGCCATCTGTTTTCTCTTACAGGTTTGCAGAAAACTTGCACCAAGAAATAAAACCACAAGGGAAAAATGACATTAAGGAAAGGTATGTCTACATATGTGTGTTTTGTTTTGTTTTGTTTTGAAACTGTTCTGTGCTTTTCTGAGTTTCTCAACCTTTCGGCTTATTTTAATAACGTTTTTGCTTTTAAATTTTCAGTGAACATTTCCATCCTCATAGTGGCTGTTGTTATATTTTTGTTAGTTCTTCATCATAACTTCCTAGGCCTCAGTGACTTCTTGAAACGGGAATTGTCAGGTATGTTGGGTTTTGGTTTTACTTTTCCGTTTGTTTTTTAAGACCGGTGGGAAAAGACGTGCTCTGGCGAGGCGTAAACCACTTTGTTAGTGAAATAGCTTGTATGATAATGATGGATCATTTGCATAACAAGATATATTTTTGTACTCTAATAACTAGATCTTTTGCTGTTCTCAGACCCAAGACAGACATGATCCTGATGAGTGCTATCTAAATTTTGGTATGGTGGGATTATCTATACTTGCTGTTCATGACCTTTCCCACTTGGGAAGCTAGACAAGATAGTAATAATTTTTCCCTCTGGTTTTAAAAGTCACTAAAATCCGCTTCAGTTTACTTAGCGAAGCCGTTTTCATTTTCAAAGCTGTAATATTTCATTACACGCAGGAGCCCGCTTCCAAGAACTGCACGTAGTCCCACAGAGACGCGCAAAGTATTTCCGTGTCCCCCACTAACTTTTGGGATGCCTTCTCCCACTGCTGGGAGCTGTTGTTCCTGGGTAGTCGTCGTACAGGTCCACCTCAGAAATGCTGAAATAGGAGCCTGGCAGGCTCTAACCAGGGATCAGGTGAACTTAAAGCCGTTGAGCTCCGTAATGAGGAAATGGCAGAGAGAAGGCAGAAGCCCAGCTGTGTGGACAGCAAACCCCTGCCCGCAGATTGTCAAGTCCCCTGTTGGACGTCTTCCTCATGTTATCTGAAATTACCTAATACGTAACAGTCTAAATCATCGGAAAGTGGATAACCACTATCGTCATAAAAAGTGCAGGTGGTGGGGAATTTGTTGCCTTTGTAGCTGGCGTGGGCTAATCCTAAACTTCAACTGCTGATCTCCACTTTCGTTTCATTACGTGGGCATAAATTCTGCTGGTTTCAGCTTGGGTTAAGGTAGTCTTTTGTGACGCCTGAAAGAAGCGTGGGCTGTATGTAATGCCTTGACCGGCAAAGGGAAAAAATTGGCAATGGCGACATTAATCTAGAGTGTCCGTTCTCTTCATTGGCTCCTACCTAAGAGGAGAAGAAAGAGAGGGAAGAATGACATGGAAAAGACGAGAAGCTAGTTATGGAAAATGGGAGGGAGAAGTCAGCGTGCCACCAAAGATAAGGGCAGCCTTATTTAGTTTAAACTTCATTTCAGCTCTCTCGGAATGACTTGCACCTTGGAATTCCAAAATTAAGTATAGTCATCAGTGCTGTAATGCTAATGTGCTGCCTGTGAATACTTACTTACCTGTATGTCGTTTATTTGCGTGGTGTTTTCCTGTTCATTCCGATCTCAGACTGTCAAGAGCAGGGGCTATCGTTACGTGTTTGACACTGGCATGTTGTAGCCCTCTCCTCAGCTGAGACATCCCAGTGCTTGTATAATAGAAATATGTGGAGGCATTGGGAATTTTAATGTGATCGTAATTTCTGTGTTTCATTTTTGCATGAAACACATGTGTGGTGCCAATCTTATTCCACAGATTCAAGTCCGTTAGGACTTCAGCCTATAGATTTCATACCTGCGATTCCCCAGAGGTTGACAGATGAAAGGAATAAGGAGATTTCTGTGGTCATTGCAGCATCAGATGAGAGGCTTGGAGGTGCAATTGCAGCCATGAACAGTATTTACCGTAACACCAGATCCAACGTGGTTTTCCATATTGTTACTTTGAATGATACCGTGGATCACTTGAGGTAACGATCTCTTCGTTAGACCCTCACAATACCTTCGAGCTTGAGCTCCTCCTCTTCTGAAAGATACTTAGTTTGCCCGATATTGCACTTCTAAATTGTCTGTAGTCCTATCTGCTGTTGCTTATTGCATCTTCCTGGTAAGGCAGCTGTAGGGAGTCCTACAGGCTTTCCTTCTGGCAGTGTTTCAGGGATGGAAGAGAGCATTTGCCGGTGGGGTTGCAGACTGTTGGGGAAGGGGTTGTAAAAGTTATTTCCTACGTTCCATCGGAGCAACTGAAATGCCGGCAGTGAAGTTTCCCCATGTTTTTCAGATTGGTCTTTGATCCTTTTGGTCTCACCCACATCCATTCACACCAATAATTTCTGTGAAGGACCTGTGATAACAGGACCATACATTTCTAATAAAATAAGAAGCAACCTCAGACCATTCATGTGTCACAGCTGTGTAGTTTGCTGATAGTGGGCATGCTGCTACAGTCATACAGGACACCACTGAAATTAAGACTTAGACTACGTTCTGTAAGTATGCTTGTACATACAGGGAAATGAGCAGCCAGATCAAAGTTTGTGTCACGGTCGATCTGATCTCTTGCTTCTCTTTGATTTTGTTTCATTTTACAAAATCTGTGTACAATTTCTCCTGTTTGCAGGGTGTGGCTAAGTAACACCGCTTTGAAAAATCTGAAATACCGAATTTTGGATTTCGACCCTCGTGTCTTGGAAGGGAAAGTACCAGTGGATCCTGAGAAGGCAGACACCTTAAAACCAGTGAGGCTAATGTTGGCTAATTTTTGCAAATACGAGTTAGTAACAATATATTTTGATTATTGCCTCCAATGGCTTTTGAATTCAACCGGAGTTCAAAACTAAATTTGTTAGGGCAGAAGATATCTTTCATAATCGAATTCCTAAAATTCCAGTAAGAGTAAGGTTTCAGATAGTGAGAGAGAAATTTGAATATCTACACGTGCATCTCTAGTAGTATTTTTTAGCTGATTTCTACGGTGAAATAGAGCAGCTTGCCTGTCAAACATGCCAAAAACGTGCAGACCTCAAAAATCCTAATATAGATCAGATCCGTTTTAAAAGTTAGTTTATCAAGGCACAAGTTTTTAGGAAACCAGGCTTTGTTGAATTGGTGGAACCTGCTTTTAAATAACTCCTAGGATATTGCTGGCTATTTTACTTTCTTGGCAGAAGTTGCCATGGATGTTAGTACCATAGATAAGTGCCAGGAGTATCAGTCAACTTCACCTTTATTGGAACAATTCCTTATTTTTCTTGCTCTCATGTTTTCACAGTTAACCTTTGCAAGATTCTACTTGCCCAGTTTGGTGCCTCATGCAGAGAAGGCCATCTATGTGGATGATGATGTAATCGTGCAAGGTATGGGGCCTTTTCTTGATAAGTCTTATTACTGGTATGTGTTGGGATCAGTGTGCTGCCTCAGGCAGTAACCAAACACTTCTGCTGCAAAAAAAGATGCAAAAACTCTGTAAACGCAAATGAACTGGCTTAAACTGAGTGCTTTTATCAGCTGTAGGAATGGACTGAACAAAAAGTCATTCAGTGCTTAAGCAAGATTGCTTTTAATTTTTCTGTGCTTGTTTCCATTCTTCAGATGATATCCTTGAACTTTACAACACACCATTGAAACCTGGACATGCAGCTGCATTTTCAGATGATTGTGACTCGACCACTAATAAATTTGCCGTCCGTGGAGCAGGGAATCAGGTTGGATTTATTCCGATTCAGTAGTAACGATACTACAGAGTCCAGCCTTTGGAAACAGGCGCTCAGTTAGTTCTAACATGTTTGCAGGTTCTCTTCCAAATGCAGTGAACCTAAAGGTCTGACTGTACTTACCCAAATGATTTTACTTGGATATTTGTGTTACACGTTACACCTGCAGTTTCTAGTGAGGCACAGTGAAAGTACTTTGAATTTCTTCTGTGCTTTAGGATGGTAACGCTCAGTTTGGAACAGCAGGAGGTCTTAGAACATTGGAGAGGTCATTTTTTGTTTGTGAGTGTATAAAGGTGCTTTTTCTGGGAGTGGTATTGATCGTCTCAGATGGCAGAAATTAAGAACAGGCAGCATTCCTTAAATGCATCGTTTCTGTAGTCATGTTAGGCCTCTTAAGCTCTTTCTGCTGTGTTAAAGGAAGGGAAAGTTGTTTTAACAACTTCACGGTATGCTGGACTGTTAGGAGTTGTACACAATTTTTCTTGAAATGATAATTTGACCATATTTTAAGCTATTCTCTGCTCTTTTTCAGTATAATTACATTGGATTTCTAGATTACAAAAAAGAAACCATCCGAAAGCTTGCCATGAAAGCCAGCACCTGCTCTTTCAATCCAGGAGTTTTTGTGGCCAATTTGACGGAATGGAAACTACAGAACATCACTAAACAATTGGAGAAGTGGATGACGCTTAATGTAGCGTAAGTACTCCCAAACTGCGGGTGTCTGTAGACCAAGGATTGGATTATGGTGACGGCATTTAACTGTTAATTTAAAGGTTGCGTATGTATTTGTAGACACACACATAACTCTTCCTGTCACGCACTTGCGAGTGAAAATCACGTGATTTAGGGCCACACGAGTACCCTTTGCCAACTTCTTTCTTTCTCCTCTTCCAGAGAGGAACTGTACAGTAAGACTCTGGCTGGCAGCATCACTACACCTCCACTGCTCATTGTATTTTACAAGCAACATTCCAGTATTGATCCGATGTGGAATGTCCGACATCTTGGTACGTATGAAACATTTGGGACCCTTCATTTGCTCTCCCCTAGCGTGCTTTCCAAGTCTGTAGCTGGCCCCTTGGTTGACGATGCAGCAAATGGATCTTTTATATCCTGTGCTTTAAGAAGCGCTGCTTTTGCAATATCATCTCAGAGCTGTGGGCCTGATCCTCTGTGTTCCTTTTTGAACGGCTAGAGGGCTTGCTCTTGAATGGACTTGCTCTCAGGTTGCCTTTTTTTTTTTTTTTTTTTTTTTTTTCCACATATATATTGCATCTAGAGCGATCCTAGATATTTCTTCCTCGATTGTTCAGAGGAAGAGACGTTTTTATCTGCTCTGCTACTGGTAAAACTCCAGTGCTGGGAGGGCTTTCTTAGGTTTTGTTGGAAATGAAAAATAATACATAGGCTGCTGAACACAACAACCCTAAGAGTGTTTTAAAGAGCTTGGAAGTTAAAGCAGTTCAGTAAAATAGAGACGTTCTGAGACTAATCAAAGCAGCATTTAGTTCCAACTGATTGTCTTTCAGTTTGCCCTGGTTTCTGCCTCACGTGCCAACTCCTTTCTCCATAAATGACAGGAACTGCTTTTTAAACTTTGAAGTTAGGAACATTGCACGTTGGTGTTTCCGCTACCTTTTTATCAGGCACTAATGCTTCTTTTTTGATAAAAGGCTCTAGTGCTGGAAAAAGATACTCTCCTCAGTTTGTGAAAGCTGCCAAGCTGCTCCACTGGAATGGACATTTCAAACCATGGGGAAGAACAGCTTCATATGCTGAGGTCTGGGAGAAGTGGTATATTCCTGACCCAACGGGCAAGTTTAGCCTGCTTCGCAGACACTCAGAAGCCTATGAAGCAAAGTAGAAGAAATTTTATTAACTGATGGCATTTCTCAGGAAACTTTTGGACCCAAGCAGACATTTTTTTAGCCAACTTGTACTACAGAGCAGTCCTTGCCTTGTGCAGCACAGGGAGATGCACTTAGGCAGCTGCAGTGCTCATGGCTCAAAATACAGAGTCCCAAAGGAGACTCACTTCACTCGTGTGACTGAAGACGCTACTCCAGCAGTTTGGAAAGCAAAGGGACATCTCCATAAACTACTACTTTCATTAGTTCGTTTCTGTTTGTTGTACGTTCTTCTGCTCTTTACTACAAATCTTCTAGCATGGATTGTCTTGTCAGCTACAGAAATCTCGTTCCTAAGAACGAGACAACTAGCTGGTTGCTTGCACCATGAGAGTCTTGCAGGGTAAGGTACTGTAATTAAGAGCTGCTGCCTTTTTTTTTTTTTTCCTTGCTTTCTTATTCTGTGAAATAGTTTACTGAACAATACTTTATTGCATGAGGATTCCTCTCAAACACTTCTGTGTAAACCTTTCTTGCACAACTCTGGAAAAAAATTGAATCTTGACTTTGGAAAGATTATTTTTCAAGTATTATTTCACTATACAAAGTGGTTTTAACTGCCAGTGAACACTAACTTTTTTTTTTTTTTAAAAGCTGTGGAGAAAACTTTGTTCAAAAAATAAAAACTGATTTTCAACATCTTGACTCAAGGCTCAGCTAAATGGCAGTCTCATTCTAGTCTTATTCTCATTCTAGAAGCTTATTTCCTTTACACTTAGATACAGTAATAAGAGATTGAAGTTATTAAGTCAATTGATCTCATCTTGGAGAGGCAATCTCATTCCAAAAGCATGTGTAGACTCTTAATTGACTCTCAGGTGAGCATTGCTCTGCTAAATAAATTTTTCCCAACATGCTTCAGTCTGCCCCTTTAAATTCCTCAAGCCAGATGGCAGTTCTCTTTTGCAGCCCGTTGCCCAGCACCTTTTCTTCTATTGGTAAGTAGTTTAAGAGGTGTAGTCTTATGTCTAAATATTAATTACTATTAGCTGCTCTCTCCTAGCAGCTGTTGTGCCAACTGTTCTATTTAGTACGGGTTGGAACTCAAGTTGTGATTTTATTCACTGTAATACTGCTTGTGAACGCTGTCCTCAATGTATTAGCGTAAAATGCTTAGACAAAAGGCTCTGCGTTAATAACGATGGGGAATAGAAACTGGCTGAGTGTTACGTGGGCTGAGATACGGGGCAGCCAAGAGCTAAAGGGCCTTTTTGTGTTTATGTGTGGTTTTGGTACTGCTTTATAATCTGAAAGGATTTTCTGGCCTAAAAACTTCTTGACTCCTTGTAATCGTTGCTTACGGTTCTGTTTCTCTCATGGCTGCTCCTGCTGTCTCTGTTTGGTGAGCTACCTATCCCTTCTTTGCCTGGCTAGTGATGAGTAAGAACCATTCTTGTCCTTGAAGTGGTTAGCAATAATGAAATCGGTTCAGTTACTACTCTATCAGCTGATGCTGACTTCATTCTAATGACCAGCTTGTGTTTTAACTAGACTAGATAAACAGCATGCTTTTGTGTCTGCAAGAGAAATTCAGTTTACTACACTTAATGCTTTAAGCTGGCTAGCAGCACTGAGCCTTAAAACACTGTTATTTAGGGAAAATACATCAACTGCTTCTTAAAGGAAAGAACATGCAGAGAAATCAGAGCTTTAAGTTAACAGGAAGAAAAGAGGTGCAGAAGAGCAAGATGCTTGGTGTCAGGCACTCTGAGCGTTTCCTTGGCTGAGCAGCTGCAGGGCCTCTTTCAGAAAAACTGGTAATTCTCTTGCTACCTGAGCTCTGCTCTAGGCTGAGTGCTGTAACACCTCTTCACTGTGTGAAGGAATGTATTTTATTTTGTTTTACTGTTACCAGCTGTTAGCATTTACAGTAGGTGTCATCAGGAGATACTGCTTTGGTTCAAGAGTATCAAGAAGAACATGGAGCTCTTTC